GTTCACATATATAAGATGTTTGGATATTTCAATATGGACTACATACGAACTGAAATGAGTGAACACACACGCTAAAATGTGTCTATATACATCCCATCCATAAAAAAAAGTTACAAAATCTTATATTTGTGTACGGAGGCACTATTTTTAAGCCAATGCCGATGTCTTGATATTTAGGCATGGACCGGTTATTTGCTAGATGTAAACTTCCTGGTTGGATGTGTTAGGCACTACATACCCTATGTCTAGTGCAACAGTAGATTACTCGGTACTAGAGCAAAGGAATCGATGGTTTTGAAGATTTTGCTACATTTGGATGCCATGAATTATCTTTGATTATGAACCATCATTCCCAAAGTGTTAGGTTACATCAGTATGGTGCGGTATTAGGTTACTCAATACTAGAGCAATTATGATGTTGTCTTAATTACACAATTTGCTGATCTTAACATATTAGCTCTTATTACGTACCAGGTTACAACTTGTGTGAATATGTGATGCTCTGTCTAGGAATCATTTTCTTGTAATTTTCTGTTGGCAATGGTAATCAGCAAGAAGTGGGCATGCGCTAGCCATAATACTACCTGATAAAGTTTATTTCTCATACATTGTTTTCTCTATAGTGAGAAAAGTAAGCTATGCATATTTTGTCAGGATATACACTATGTAGTCAGAATTGATTATTCCAAGAAGTTCATGAAAATTGCTCTATGTAAAAGAATGAACTAGCACCTATCATAAAGCTGTTCTGTTTGTTAGTGTTGAAGCCGATGACCTAATATTCTTTTGCCTCAACTTTGCAGTCAGAAAGGGCGAATCATGGAAACGGTCCCGAAGCCAAGGGGTCGTTCCAGAAGCCGCAGTCCAAGACGGGGGTATTTTTTTCCTAGATATATATACATGTTATCATATATTTCTTCGTTGTCGTTTTCCCACTTAGTATATTGTACATTTCATTTACCATGCACATGTGTATAGCCCTTTCGGAGGGAACTTTGGCTTGTGCACAAGCCCCATATGCCTGCTTATCTGGTTTGGGATTCAATTGAAGCACATTATTAAGAAAGAAAGAAAGAAAGAAGGCAAGAGAAATAGGGCTGTAGTTCAGTAGTTGTGTAAGTAATGGAGGTTCCAGTAAGTTCTTCAGCATCAAACTATGGACATGCCATGGTTGTCGACTTTGCTGACTGCTACAATGTCTATTGGTCACGTCGATGGATGAAGCCATGTTCCTAATGATAAGATTATCTATCAAAGTGGGATTCGATTCAGATTTCCTCCATTCTTGTTGCTCTTTTTTTTCACAATGCCAAAAAATCACGTGCATACCTCATCTGCAGGTACCGTGATGATCATCGGGGCAGAGATTCTAGAAGGCGAAGTCGGAGTCGGAGTGGAGATAGATATGGACGTGACAGGTACAGAGAGAGGGACCATCATCGTCGTAGCAGGAGTCGTAGCACTAGTCCTGATGATTACAAGAGGCGTGGCAGAGACAGGTATACACATCCAGATAATCATTGTTGTTTTATGCTGGGTTATATACCGTACATTCATTTTTAGTTATATGTTTTTTGGCTGCACATAGAAGTCCTAGTCGTAGCAGGAGCCGCAGCTACAGTCCTGATGATGACAGGAAGGGTGGCAGAGACAGGTATGCACATCCGGGAATCATCTCTTTTGTTCCGTTTTACTGAATTTAACTGATGCCCTTTATTATTGCAGTTTGTCGCCCGCACGCAGAAGCACTAGTCGCTCCCCTCGCAAGACACCACCTCCTCGCAAGACACCACCTCCTTGCGAGGGGTCTCCTGCTAAGCGCAATGATGACCGTTCTCCTGTTAGGCGCAATGATGACCGTTCTCCTGTTAGGCGCAATGATGACCGGTCTCCAGGCTCTCGTAGCCCTTCAACATGAGCTGAATGTCAAACAACTGAGGTCTCTAAACTGTTCAAATTATATATGTCATCACAGTTGATACCCTAGCACGCGATAACATGACTTGTGCTTCTGTCTACAGGATCAATGGAACAGAGCTGCTCATATTGGAGGCTGTTCAGTTGCTTTATCATGAACAATCTGCAGTTACAATTGCAAATTAAAAATGTTGTGGTGCTTGACATCGGTGACTACTTCAGGCTACAGATGCTGCTTTGTGGATGTCTGGATACTTGTTAGAACTATATGTACTACTTCACCTTCTTCCAATTCAATCTTGTCTATTAGCACCAAGTATTACTATTTCCTTTCCAGTGTTGGGCACTTACTATAAATGGTAATTTGCACCTTTCTAGTTACATGATGTGGTGAAGAGGTGCTGGTTGATAAAGGCTGAACACACAAGTTGCTTGCTGTTGCCGTTGATATTGTTTGTGCTGTATCCCTTAATGATGATGATGCTGGTGATGGAGATGATGATGGTGATGCTGGTGGGGGTTGATGATGGTGGTGATCATTTTGCTGCGTGCACTCTTGTTATGCTGACAAGTAAGGTTCAAATGATCCAGCTGAGGTTCACTGCTTAAGCTGTTCATCAATAATAAAGTATTAAACAACTCTGGTCCATGTTACTGCATGCTAGGATTTGAAAAAATTGGTTTCTTAGTTGAGTCTCTGCTCATGATTTATGTTATGCAACCACAACATATCTTTACAAAAGTGTGGTAGCAACAGACATTTGGGTGTTCTTTGTTGTTTGTTCTGGCCTAAATAAATTCTGATATGATGATAGAGTCTTGAAAGATAAGTGGAACTTAAAAGTTAGTACAGTACCTTTCTATACCATTTAGAAGTCTATTATGTAAAGACTACATAGCAATGCAAATACTCTTAATGTGCTGACCAAGTCAATTTTTAGTATCTTAGGATTTTGTGTGGTTTATAGAGTTCAGAATGTTTGGCAGTTGATGTTCCAAGTTTACAGTCACTGTAAGCATGTGGTAGCATCTTGACTTGTAACCAGTTTGTGAGACTTCTTTTCTTCATATTATGACTCTTATACGGCTTTTTTTTAAAAAACTTTACAACTCTTAACATCCTTTCGCAATAGAAGGTGTGGTAGGTGTTTTCAATTGCAGACTGAATTATGTCAGCTCCAAGGCCTGCTGCCCTGTAGATGTATCATGCGAATGCTGACTTAGGATCATGTGGTGATGGCGGCCCTATGGAAAGAACCTACGCTCCATGATTGATGTATATATTTCCGAAGTGTAATGTATGGTAACTTTGTAGTGATGTTCATTTGGTACACAATTGAAAATTCCTTGAAAAGAACTTGCGCTGATTTGGTTTGATTGTACCATGGGCTACTTTGCTCATTGACGAGTGCTTGTTGCTTGTTTGGATATCTAATTCGAAGTATTTACCTGGCATATTTCGGATCTGCGCTTTCAGTGTACAGAGCTACCTGGCAAAATCGTATACTTGCTGTCACGGTGAACAACAGGCAGCGATGACTGCACACAACAGGTCACAGAATGTTCACGAACATTTTTCAGTTGTCCCGAAAGTGTCAACCGACATCCCTGATTAGTCTGAAAAGCAAAAGATGCCTAGCGGCACCCTCCATTTTCGCTCATATAAAACACGCTGGCTGAGTGGGGTTCGGGGTGCCAGAGGTGATGGATTTGTTCAGGAGAGCAGAGGCTCCCATAATTCGACAAAATATGCATAATGTAGTATTAGGGCTTCTCCAGCATGGTTTGCCAAATGGACATCTCAAAATGTCCGTGGACAGCCAACCGTACGGAGGCAACCGTGTCCCTCAAACACCCCATACACTACTCCCTCTGTTCCTAAATATTTGTTTTTTTTAAGATTTTAAATGGACTACCATATATGGATGCACATAGACATATTTTAGAGTGTAAATTTACTCATTTTACTTCGTAGGTAGTCATTTGTTGAAATTTTTAGAAAGATAAATATTTAGAAACGAAGGGAGTAGATTTTTATTGAATTTTGGATTACTTCTTAAACAGCGGAAGTCCCTAAAAAAACAAATTTACTCTTTGTCGGAGGTAAGGTCGACGACCATCGCACCAGACGGTCCAGCCTCCTCGTCGTTGGGGGCCACCGTGGTTTGCATCTTCGTCGTGCTGCTTTGATGCCTCCTCATCCTCAGCCGCTAGACCGCATTTTGTTGACGCGGAGTTGCCTCACGGTGGACCGCTTTGTATGGAGGCGAGAAACGCCCGGTTCACGTCGACAATTCCTGGGGCCGCCTCAACCATGGTCGCGACGGCAATGCAAGCCGAGCCTCCACCAAGTGATGCTCCTCCAGGAGTGCCACCCAACACCAACGCCCCATCAACAACCATCGCCTCCTTCGCTGCAGGCTGTTCTGGCTCTTTGACCTCCACCATAGTCATGGGGTTGCCCCTCCCACTCCTTCGAGCTAGGCACTCCGGAGCCGAGCTCAAAGGTGCCCACATCAAATGTGGGCCTAGCACCAAGTGTCCACAGACAAACCACAGAGACAACCATTGTGATGGCGAACAACAGGCACAAATGTGATCTAGGGGTGGTCAGACGACATCTCGAACGGTTGGAGAAGTGACTCAAAGCTAGGGTTTTGAAGTAAATAACAGGGGCAAGGCACAGAGGGGCAAAGGCATGAGTGCAGGCAGCCAGAGTAGGCTTCTCAGGCGGCGCGTCGGGATGAATGCAGGTAGGGAATCCTGACAGCGACAACCATGAATCCTTTGTTCGGAACAACAATAATATTAGGAGCTTTTGGCATAGGCTTCGGTGCATAATAACAGCAACCTGGGCACTTGTCATGCATAAAACTAAACTAGCACAGCTTGCAATGTCTCGTCGAAGTAGAAATGTGCGATGAACTAGTTCAGCTTACAATGTCTCCAGGTTGTACAAAAGCGTTCGACGAATCGCTTGAGGATGCATAACACTGGCGGCAGTTTAATCAGCAGACATTACAGGTGCAACTATATGTAAAAGCACGGCCCCAGGATCACGACTGCATCAACTTCAAGCCTGCTCAGGGGCGCTTCGGAGGGAAATACTGCACGTTGTTGTCTTGGCACATCCCCTGGAATGACCAGAAGAGAAATTATTAGGTCAAGACATCAGAGTTGCGTCGCAACAGTCGCAATTCTTGCAAGAATGAAGGCATGCAGTTTTTACCTGATACTCCTCTGGAAGTTCCTCTGAGACAGCCAGAGTATAGCACCCTGGAATGAACCTCCCTGCAGATTGAGAAACAAACATAAGCAGATGGTTTCAGTTAACCGTTACAACGCAACACTTTGTTTAGCATAAGTCGTGCGGTTATGACACAAAAGCAGACATGGTCCTCCGGCAAAGTCCATTTCAAAGGGCTGCCAGAGTAATGGCTAGCACCACCATGGACCATTGGCATTAATTTCTCTGTTATGCTTGACTAAAAGCTTTCACATGATATGGAAGGACATAATACTGGCGCGTGGTAATAACTGGTTGAAGTTCTTAGTAGGGGACTTCTTTTAACAAGGAGACTGCCTAGATTCGTGATGATAGTAACATCATACATATACTCGACAAAAAAGAAATATCTTCCTTGATATTGTTTCATGATGCAGAATTCAGATTATGGCCATCCCACTCAACTATTAGGATTCTTGTTGACAAATCCTACGGGCTAGAGCCATAGGCTCGATCGTTCCCACTACTTCTTGAATGGTTAGGTCTGAATCCTGTAGTGGAGCTTTCCAAAAAAACTTTCCGAACAAATTCACAGTTCTATTAACTCAAGCGACTCTTTACTGTTGCTCCATTTTTTTTTACTTTCGCTTCAAGTTAAGATTTCTATTTATTTTATTTCTATTATATTGATGGTTCATCACATTGCCTTCTATGATGCAATTCATAGACAATACATATTGGAACCCTATTTCTTACTTTTTTTTATCATCCCTCCCTTTATCCACATCCCTTTAGTTTCTTCACAACCTAGAATCTCATTACTTTCTAGAGAATTCTAACGAATTTCATATAAAAAATCAAGACCATAATTTGATTCAAATTTGCACTAATGCAATCCTCAGCCAGTTCCTTTCATTTACATTTTGTTGGCATGATTTTTACATTGTGAAACAATGTCAAGGAAGTAATTTTCTAGAGTTCATCTTTTTACTAGAAACATACAAAAAATTGTTTAAGTATTGGATGACAGTACCAACATGCATTACTTAAATAAAGAAGGCTTCAGCACGCAAACAATGGAAAAGATATGCACTTGGGTTAACAAGCATGCAATCAGACAGTTTAAATAAAGATTCCAATGTCAAATCTAAAATGTTACAAATACAAGCTTAACACAACAATTATTGTCCTATGAGATAATCCACTGATAATTTCCTTGCTATAACAAGGACTCAAGAACCCAGCCCTGGAATTAAACAAGCTAGGAGTGGATCTTGGCAAATATTTCAGTTCAGTTTTCTGATCCTTCACAAGTGGTAACCACATACAGGTCAAATAGATATATTTTATAAGGAAAGAATGCCAACACACTCAGGTGGATCCTTAATAACGAATTTAAGTACTACTAGCAACCATAATATTTTTAGAGAAGGGGAGTAAGAAGACAATGAACCATAAACAGTATAAGGTATATGCAGTACTCATCTGGACACCCCACCTAGTAGTGATTATAGACCTAAACGATTAGTATATGGTAGCTAGGAGAGCTTTCCAGTAAATGGTCTAACCTGTTCCTTTTTAGTACTCTATAAAAATGTATATCATAAGTTCATAACTAGGCTCGAAATGTAAATGTGCAATAGCATAAAGTAAACCAAACTGGATAGAGAAAGTACCCTGAAGACAAAAATAAGCAAATGCTGTGTGATAACTATTTAACTACACACTCACCAATTCTCAACCAACGAGCAGCCCAACTCCTATTGGGATCCATCAGCGATATTATTCTGCAAGCCAAAATTTGTGCAATAAATTCAGAAAGAGGAAGCACTGGGCTGCATAAATAATATATATTTAAGGGCATACGATCTTTCTGCGTCAGAAACAGCACATTCTTATGAATATATAAATGTTTTCATGAATTATTCACCAAAATCACCCAAAGAATTGAAGTAATCAACAAGAGGGGTGGAATTTATTTAGAGAAAAATAACAAGCATTGCATTTATTTCTTCCTCTTATCTGTTTGTCAGTCAATTTGCAGCCCGTGAAAGCACTAGATATATTCTTTATCACAAAAAGAGATTACAAAAACATGGATTCAGTGCATCTCCACCAGAGAATTAACCACTGAGCAACACTAGCCAGAAGAACTACAAGACTGCAGTGCAGAATAGAGTTACCCAGTGAAGTTGGCGGTGGTGCAGCTGACCACGTTGTCGCGATCTTTGTCCATGTCCAGGAAGGGGCAATTCTCGCAGCCATTCTCCCTGAACTGCACATCCCATGCAGCAATCAGACACAGTAGATGTTAAACATCAGCAAACAACAATAACATTCAGCCACGCTGCTTGTGCCACCAAATCGGACAATATTTCTCACTGCAGAATTTATAAGAAACACAGGCACGCGATCCAAATCGAGAACATGTGGCTAAACCCTACCATCCGACAGCGTACTAAAAGAATAAGGCGCCCTAGTTTGACACGCAGATATAGATTCAATTAACCGAAAGGGGGGTCGAAACCCTAGGTCCAGACGGACGGGTAGCGATGGGGGCGGCGGCGGCGGCGGGTAGGTACCTGGTCGTAGGTCTTGACGAGGCGGCAGCGGAGGCATGCGCGGAGCTCGTGGCCGAAGCTGTTCGGGATCTGCGCGTGCTCAACCCCGCCGTCGTCCATCATCCCGCCGCCGCCGCCCCTCATCCTTGCTTCCCCTCGCCTCGCCTTGCCTGCTATTCGCTTATGTCCTCTCTCGCTCGTTCCCTCGCTCGTTCCGTTCTAGAGCTCTCTCGTATCTTCTCCTTTTCTTTTTCCTATTTTTCGGGTATTTGTGTTTTCTCAGCTTTTCAGCTTGGGCCTTGTATGTGATGTTTGGGCGCATACGATCCAACGGTTGTTGGGTTTGCCGACCTTCCAGAGCCCGCTGGACTGGACTAAGTAATACTCACTCCTTTCTAAGGCTTGTCTCAACTTTTTTGTTTTTTCACTTACAGAATGCCTCGGTTGATGAGATTTGAGATTTGAGCCCTATAAATCGAAAGGGAGGGAGTAGGACAGCAAAGAACGAACTAAGGCCTCATTCGGTTCATAGGATATAAGAAAATCATCTTGTCTCAAAAAGAGAGAGAAGAAAATCATCTTCTTTGTCTAAAAAAAAGAAAGAAAAGAAAATCATCTTCTAGCCCTAAAAAAAGTAATCATATTTTTAAGAAAATAAGAAAATCATAAGAATAGAAAAATCATAGGAAATGAGGTGATATGTATTTCAATTTCTGCATGGAAAGAGAGGTTGTTTGATGCATTCCTTTAAGATATGAAGGTCTCTATCCTACATACCCCGCAAAAAAAGTCTTTATCCTGCATAAAAATAAGAATCCATTTCTATAAACCAAAGAGCTCTAAAGATATATTTCCGTTGAAAATCCTATCCTATAGATTTTCTATAAAATTCCTACAAACTAAAATAGGCCTAAATGATTTCACAAAACTAGACCGTGTCAGTCCTTTATAAATATCCATGCCAGATGTGTAGTAGGTAGGGGAGCTCTTGTGGAAAGCGAACTTTTGGCTCTCGGGTGCGCACACACCCTATATGTGCAGTATTTTTATAATTCTAGGAAAATTAAAAAAAATCGGAATCTTTTTTCGAAATAAGATCAAGTATTATACTTGTATACAAAGTTTGGACAAGGAAGCATTCCTGTTGACTTCCGGGTGAAAAGAACAAATTTATGATGACAATATAGCGTGAATAGTATTTGTATATAGTGTTTTTTGATGAATCTTTGACCTGGGATACAATGAAAGTCATTCTGGTGAATCTTTTTTTATGAGCATAATACTGGATAATGTTTGATTCCACAAAACCTTTCGATTATTTGACTTTTTTAATTACTAAATTACTTTTTAATATAGGGTTGCAATAACATGCGAGAGCACAAGTGTATTTCCTAGCTCTTGTGGCCATACAACAAAATCGCTTGATTTCAACAAAAAAATTCAAATGAATCATAACACTGACAGCACAAAGAGGCAAACACATGGAACGTACTAAAACTACGGAGACAACAATGAAGAAACACATTGCAATAAGATATTCAGTCATTTCCAACAGATCCGAGAATCATCACAACATGTTGCTCATGTATATATGCACAAAGATCATACACACTTGTGACATGTTGAAACACCTTACACAACATATAAAAGTTCCTGGATTCGCTAACATTTCACCGTCAACAATGTAGATGCCGACCTTTATTGATTCATGCTCGGCCACAAATTCGGCTTGCTGAAGCCCCACGGCAACCCTAGACCCATTCCATATAATCCGAAACCATTTTAGTGGTGTCAACAAAAAATGGTGATGGAATTTTACTGACAAATGTCAATGTTGACAAGATCTAAGCTAGTTATCTGCATAAAAAACTGATTATCAAGGATATCTATGAGTGTCAAAAATTGGTCACTATTATCCCACCTAACTTCTAACTCCTTTTTATCCTTCATATTTTTCACGTGTTAAAAAGGCGAGTGCCATCTTTTCAATGGACAACAACAATATTACTACATCATGCTGATCAACCCACGGAATTGTTTGAGTCATTGACTTGGGTGTGAATTTATTGTAGGCATGAGTAGTGAACAATTATCATCCCAATGAGTGTATTTAAATGAAAATCCTTCCACCAGTGCCATTAATTGCAATCCATTCTTCTTTACCGAGCTTGTCTTGGGTATGATAATTTTATATATAATTTCCCCTCTTCTACCTAATTGTATTTTTTGTTCCTTTTAGAGAAAGGGAAAAGGAGACAAGGTGTACAATTACTTTTTCCTTCCTTCAAAGCACTTGTTTTTAACCCCTTCTGCATAAGATAGTCTATTGGAAAACAATAGAAATAATGATCTTATAGCAGGTTTGGAAGGATAAATTATATGCTACCTAATGCAGTGACGGTCCTAAACCACTTCGAGATGCATGTGTTTTGCTTACATAACCCGTTGGGTCAAATTTTATCTTTTTTTACCAAGGATATTGTCAAAGTCAAACTATCTTGGTCAATAGGGTTGTACTTGCCATGAGAACGTCTTATAACATTGATCTTTGAGTCACTGTACCTCTCAGCTGGATACTAGTCGTATAGTGTTTCGTCGGGGTCCCTTGTGTTCGTGTCAGGTATCGAAGGAAAGAAGGTTAAGTGATAATGGTGGTAGTGCATGGGAATGAAGTCTCCATGGCATGTTCGTTGAGGACTGTATCCAAGATTTAGGCAGAAGAGGGGTCCATAAGGCAATACTCATAACGAAAAGTAACAGAACAACAAATAATCACAAATTCAGAAAAAATTAAATAAAAATCTATATCCATTGTAGGTTCGTTGAG